GATTTTCAGTGTATGAGGAGACCCATATGAAAATATGTGATTTTACAGTAATAGTTCTCATGAACAACCTTCCAATAAAATAGAGTCTTGGATTTCTGCAGATTTTCATCATCTTGAAAATAAATGATTTCTTTACTGGCATGAAAGTAATCTGAATTCAAAAAAAAAAAAAAAAAAAAATGCCAGCCCCCCTCTTTTTAAGAATCAAATGGATGTCCCCTTTGCCAGATTTTACTGTAAAATTACATAATTTGTTGGTCTCCTCAAGCTCATACTATGACAAATTAAATATATTAATAATTGGTTTCACACTACAATATAGTATTTATTTTATTTATTTATGTTTTGTGTTAATTGCTCTTATTTCCAGAGGAAAGAAATGTCCATCAATATTTTTTTCTGTGGTTTTAAATCTGATGCACAGTACACTCTAAATAAATTTCCAATGGATAGTTTATACTAGTTTTCATGTGACATATTTTCTCTATGAGTTATTTCCCTTGGCTGCTATCTTGATAGTCAACCTGGTAATTTTTCCTCTGTCTTACCAAATTTAAGAGGGTCTAGCAGAAATATTTTGGGAAAAATCTTTATAGAATAAAAATCATGAAATAAAGGAGACTTTTACAAATATATATTTTTCAGAAAAAGAATCCTTCTTACCCCACAATGGCCAGTATAAAAAGTTAAAGGATGAATAATGAAGGAATATGAGCATGTCGACCTCCAATATGGCGGCCGATGAGAAATAACTCTTGCTAATTTGGGTCTGCTGAAAACTATCTATAGCTTTAGCAATAAATTAATTTTTTAAAATTTAAATTTAAGGGTTATTTTTCTCAGGTATGTTCATTACACAGAATACAAGAGTTCAAATTTTAGATTTAATTTGTAGGGTTATTTTCCCTTGTATTCAATAAAGGGTGGTGACAATTTTGTAAAGATGCTTTCATCAAATGATTTAAATGCTAGCATCTTTTTTCTGGTTACATGAACATGTATTATGTATATACTTACTGTTAATGTTATTTAGAGCTACACTTCAATCATTTTTAGTAATTAATGAACCAGCACTTTGAAATTTCTTAGTCCAGCAATAGATAGTTTTCATATGACATATTTTCTCTCCGAGTTATTCCCCTTGGCCGCCATCTTGGTGGTCAACCTGGTAATTTTTCCTCTTTGTCTTACCAGATTTAAGATGGTGTAGCAGAAATATTTGGGGGAAAATCTTTGTAGAATAAAAACTATGAAATAAAGGAGGCTTTAACAAATTTATATTTTTCAGGAAAGGAATGCTTCCTACCCCAAAATGGCCAATATTAAAAGTTAAAGTTGGTTGAATAATGAAGGAATATGAGCATGTTGACCTCCAATATGGCAACCAACGGGAAATAACTCTTGCTAATTTAGGCCTACTGAAAACTATCTATACCATGAAAAGCCTGGTAAACTTGGGTAAAAACTTCATATGAGTATATTACTAAGAAACTTCCTATTATTTTGTTATCATGTTTTTTTATTTGCACAAAAATCATATAGACAGGCACTCTGAAAATTTTAAGGACACTTCACTTGGTATTTACTCCCATGAAAAGTGACCCACTGAAAAATGTGAAGGGTTTAACTAATGTTGGTTTACATGTATTTTTAATCTTCCCAGTATTTGAATTGTGTTTAATATTTAAAAAAATATTAAGAGTCAGAGAACACAACTACTTAAGTTTATCGGAGATTTGATGAACCATACAAGGAAGGTGGGTGAACCCTATTAATTTTTAGGTCAAAAAGGGTCAAATGTTAATTAAACTGCATACTCGGAAAAAAATATGGCTCTTTGCTTGAGATATATACAATTTATATAGAGACTATCTATGACAGGTGGAAGATCCCTATCTAGAAAAAAGTTTTCATTTAAAAAAAAAACGCACTAATCTATATTTTGATGTATAAAGTAATTAGGGAGGTTGAGTTCTCTCTCTCTCTCTCTCTCTCTCTGCATTGCTAATAAAATCTTGGTGACCCTAGTGACATATTTGGACAATTGTAATGCACATAACTAACATGTAAATGTTTTTCAAAGTTATTAAATTTCTATTTGAAGTAACTATAACGTGATCTAAGACCCCCTCAGTTGGTATGACAGGTGGTTGGTAGACCAAGGGTTGTCCGCTCAATATCTTGAGAACCATTTGCTTGGCACATCAAATTTGTTACACTGGTATCCCCTGAAGAGTAGATATCCCTTATCGATTTTGATATCCCAAGGTCAAGGGTCCAAGTACTCTAGAGATGAGAAGATATTGACCACTCAATATCTCCAAAATCCGAGACATCAAACTCGGTACTCTGGTACCTCTGTAGAATTGAGGTCAAGGGTCATCACACAAGACATAAGAAGATATTTTCTGCTCCATATTTTGAGAACATTTTGCTTAACAGATATCAAACTCGGTAACTGTTAGATATCTCCTATTGATTTTCAAGTCGACAAGATCAAGGGTCAGCTAGACATTGGTAAATATTGGCCTCATTAGGCCATCTTTAAATAATTATTTGTTTGCACTCTCCTGACCAACTGGTTAAAATTGACCAGACTCAAAACTTTTTTAACCTGCAAGAATTTATATTTTTTAAACCCCCCCCCCTTGAATTTTCTCATCTCATCAACAAGCATGTTAAAAATTTCTGGAAGAAAAATTTTCCCAGCTACCTTCTGACCCCCTTTTTTTTTACTCTGAGTTGGAAGAGGGCAAACAAACTTTCTTTTAAAGATGGCTTTATCTTGTGAAACCTTTGATAGGCATCAAACTTGGTACTATTTATCACTTGACCTCTGATAATTTTATGGTTAAAGGTCAAACAATTTAGGAGGAATTGTCAGCTTAGTATTTTGAGAACCATTTGCTTTACAGACATCAAATTTTGTTCACTTGTACCCTCTAAGAAGTAAATTATCTTTAATGATAATATAGAAGTCTAATAGAGATCAAATTTAGTATGAAGTTTATCCATCAATAGTTGATACCCCCCCCCCCCTGGAATTTTTTATTTTTGGAAAACATAGTGATTGCTGTATCTAAAATCAAACATTATCTAATAATTTATTGTGACCATTTTAAGGGTTATTATAAAAATGTTGTTTTGTAGATGCCTCGTAAGAAGTACTGGAAGAAGAGCACTTCCAAGAAAGAGTTACAGACTGACAAGACTGAGGAGACTGGCCTCATGAAAAACAGTAAAACAGTGTCTGACCTGGACTTCACTGAGGAGACTGGCCTCTTTAAAAACAGTAAAACAATGTCTGACATTAGAATGACTGAGGAGACTGGCCTCGTGAAAAACAGTAAAACCAATGTTGACCCTGAGGAGCCTGCCCTCAGGTTACAAAAAAACAGGAAAACCAAAAAAACTTGTCAAACAAATTTGCAGAATGAACTTTGTGAAAAAGATTTGCTCAATGAACTTTGTGAAAAAGATTTGCTCAATGAATCTGCTCAAATGAATTTGCAAAATAGTATTGTTGAAAAAAGTCTAGCAAACAAAACTATCACCGAATCTTCACTGAATACTGATAGCAATTTAGTTGGAGAAAAAACGATACAGAATAATTACGAAGGTGACAAGGTATGTACTAGGGAAAAAGTATTCGGGTCATTCTATCAGGGGGACATAAGATTTTCAACATTTTCAAGAGGAAGTCAGTGTACTTGCAATGCTCTTACCATGCTGATTAAATGTTATGAAGGATTTTCATTTACTTCAGAATTCATAGACAGAACTTTAATATCAGGAGACCAAATTTATGTGAACACTGTAAGAAGTTTGAAACTAAGAGGAAAGTTTCTCAACAAACTTTTAAATTTTGATGAATTGCCAACAAACATATCACTTGGAGAGAATCATCATGTTATTAAAAAATTTGAAACAATTTGGGGATTGGTTGTCTCTGATGAACAAAATAGGCAAATTAAAACATTGCATTTGGCTTTAGAAGAGGCATTTCAAATGTCAAGATATTTATTGATAATGATAGGAGCCATTTGTTCTGCTGTATATAAAGTGTCAAACAATGAGTACTACTTTTTTGACTCGCATTCACATGATAGTGATGGCATGTCTTCATGTGAAGGTAAATCTATAATAGTGCTCAACAGGAGTATTGATGACCTAGTGTCTTATATGTACAACATGTATAACAGCATGCATATTGATCTTGAAGTGCAGTTTGAAATTTTACCCATCTCAATCACAACTTTATATCATAGCTTCCCAGAAAATGATCAGTTGCAGAAAAAGTTTTACAGAATGGATGAAAACCTACCATCAACAATAAAACCAAACTCTCAAATTGAATCCAGGAAAACATATATGAGAGAATACATGAAGAAAAAGAGACAGAATGAAGAATTCAAACATGTTGAAAGAAACAAAGATGCCAAGGCCAAACATATGAAAAGACAAGATGATGATGTAAGAAATAAAAAAAAAATCAAAGGGAAACTGCAAGAAAAGTGAAAAGACAGAATGTTGAAGTAAAAGACAAAGAAAACAAGAGGGAAACAACTGCAAGAACAATGAAAAGGCAAAATGTAGATGTGAGAAGAAAAGAAAAAGAAATGGATAAAGCTGCAAGAAAGTTGAAAAGACAAACTAATGAAGTAAAAGAGAAAAAAAATGAAAGAGAAACAACTGCAAGAAAAATAAAAAGGCAAAATGTAGGTGTGAGAAGAAAAGAAAAAGAAATGGATAAAGCTGCAAGGAAGTTGAAAAGACAAAATAATGAAGTAAAAGAGAAAGAAAATGAAAGAGAAACAACTGCAAGAAAAATAAAAAGGCAAAATGTAAAAGTGAAAGAGAAAGAAAGAATAAAGGATAAGTCTGCAAGGAAGTTGAAAAGATTAAATAATGAAGTAAAACAAAAAGAAAATGATGGAAATAGAATTTCAAAAAGAAAATATAGAGAAAACCCTCTCGTTCTCGAAAAACAACGATTAAAAATGCAAGCTCGAAGAAATGACTTTTCTTACAGACAAAATGAAATGCTGAACAATAAACAAAGGAAACAAGATAAAAGAATAGATGAAGAATACTGTAACAAAGAAAGTGAAAGAAATAGGCAAAGACAGTTTGGAATACACATACAGGATTGCATCATCAATTTTCATGAAAAGATAAAACATGGTCCAGTTTTTGTACGCTCATGTTGTCATCAAACATGGTTCAAAGAAAGTGTTTTAAAAGTGCAAAACACAAATTTGGATGACTTAAGTAAAATCAAATATCTTACTGGTATTATTTCTGTTGGAAATGCAGAGTGGATTTGCAATACTTGCTATTCATCAATTAGAGAAGGAAAAGTACCCAAGCTGTCTGTTCTAAATGGTATGATATGGCCACCTAAGCCAAGAGAATTGAATTTGTTTCCATTAGAAGAAAGACTAATATCACTTAGAATTCCTTTCATGCAAATTAGAGAGTTACCAAGGGGTGGACAATATTCTGTGAAAGGAAATGTTGTGAATGTTCCTGTGGATATTCAACCTACGGTAAATAGCTTGCCTAGAAAGATGGATGAAAATATCACAGTTCCTGTTAAGTTAAAGAAAAGGCTTTGTTACCAAAAATGTGATTATCATGAAAATGTACGACCAGCAAAAGTACTGATGGCATTACATTGGCTTTTGAACAACAGTGACTTCTATAAGAATGCAAACATTAATGTTGATGAAAATTGGTTTCAAGAAATCACATCTTCAGCAAATGAAATCATTCAAGAATTAGTTCAAACACAGACAAGAAGAGATCAAAATATTGATAATATTGAGACAGATTATGATGATGATGAATTCTGTGAAGTAGATGGAGTTGGTAGGGATGGTAATTGTGATACTCTGTTAGATGACGCTTCTCGAGATATGAATCAGATATACACCTTTGCTCCAGGAGGACAACGGCCCATTAGTTTATATCAAGATCCCACTGCAGAATATTTATCATTTCCAACAATATTTTGTGGAAAGGGAAGATTACAAGATGATGAAAGACAAGTTCATGTTTCGTATGCAGATATAGCTAAATGGGAATTGAGAAGTGTTGATAGACGTGCTGCCCAGTCTGTTCCAAATTTGTTTTTCAAGTTGAAAAAAATACAAATGAAGCAAGTTACAGACAAGTGCAACCTGGCTCTTAGGAAATGCAAAACCAAAGGAAAATCCATGACAGCAAATGAAATGAAAAATCTTGAAAATGTGAGTAATCTTATTAGACACAATGAAGGTTTCTTTGTCTTTAGACAGTTACGAAATTCACCTGCATATCTTGAGACTAGAAAAAAAGATGTATTTGCTATGATCAGACAGCTAGGTTTACCAACATGGTTTATATCACTGTCTGCAGCTGATACAAGATGGAATGATCTCATCAGAGCACTTGGAGTGTTAAATGATGGAAAAGAATACACTGATGAAGAAATTGATAACATGTCATGGTTTGAAAAATCAAAATTGGTACAAAAGGATCCTATCACATGCACTAGGTACTTTGATCATAGGTTCCGTATGTTTATGAACTTGGTGTTGAGGAGTGACCACCATCCAATTGGCTTTGTAAAAGACTTCTTTTATAGAATTGAATTTCAGCAAAGAGGGTCACCACATGTTCATATGATAGTTTGGATAGAAAATGCACCAAAATATCATGAAAATAATGAAAAGGAGATAGTAAATTATGTAGATAAATACCTCAAATGTGAAAAGAATGAAGAGGATGATTTGACAGGCTTACAAGTACACAAACACTCACAAACATGCAAAAAGAGAGGTAAGGCTGTATGCAGATTTGGCTTTCCCCTTCCTCCTCTTGAAGAGACTTTGATTTTGGAGCCACTAGAGTGTAATGTTGACAAATACAGGGAAATGTATGAAGAAATTCAAAAACAGCTAAATGATATGAAAAATGGATGTGATTTGTCCTACAAGGAACTCCTGAGCACAGTACTAAAGATATCTGAGGAAGATTACATTAAATGCATTAGAAGTTCACTGAGAGGTCCAAAGGTTTTTCTAAAGAGAAGGCCATGTGATATGAGAGTGAACTCCTACAACAGTGTTGTTCTTGATGCTTGGAAAGAAAACATTGATATTCAGTATATTTTGGACCCATATGCATGTGCAATGTATATTGTTTCATATATAAGTAAATCTCAAAGAGGGATGAGCGATTTACTTAACAGAGCTGCAAAGGAGGCTAGAGAAGGAAATCTTGACATAAAAAGACAGATACGTCATATTGGAAATCATTTTCTCAACAGTGTAGAAGTTGGAGCACAAGAAGCAGCATATTTAGTATTACAAATGCCAATGACGAAGGCATCAAGAGATGTTGTTTTTATCAACACAAGTCCATCAGATGATCGAGTAATTCTCATCAAAACAGATGCTGAATTGGAAAAGTTGACACCAAATTCAACAGATGTGGAATGCAGCAATGTTATTAAACGGTATGCAAAACGCCCAAAACAACTTGAGAACTGGTGTTTAGCTGATTATGTATCACAACTAGATGTTGTTTTCCCTAAAGATAATGAACAAGAGTTCACTGAAAATGAAGTGAATGATGATGATGATCAGGACAACAAATCACATGATGAAGATGAATCAGATCTTGATTTCGGTGAAACTGATACACTTGTTACTCTGAGAAATGGCATAAAGATAAGACGACGAAAAGTACCCAGGGTAATTAGATATGTGCGGTTTAGTATCAAAACTGATCCAGAAAATTACTATAGAGAAAAACTGATGTTGTTTATGCCTTGGAGAAATGAATCCATCGATCTTATTTCAGGAACGAACACATTTGAGATGTCATTTCATCTGAAGAAGTCATTTCTTACACACAAGGTCAAGGAATATGAATTCAATGCTGAACAGCTTGATGCAGGTTTGCAAATGGCAATTGAGGATTTTTCAGAAGCTTTTGATGAATTGGCACCAAATGCTCAACAAAGAGAAGCAGAAGATGAGAATGAGGGATCTCTTGAATCTGAAAACTTTATTCAGTTTAATCCTGAGAGGCCTATTGAACAGAGACAGTATGATATAGGAGCTGATATTGGCATTCCATCTACAAGACAAATAACAGAAGAAAGTTCTGTAAGATTACCAGACAGTGAATACTTGAAACTTTTAGAAAGTCTAAATGTAAAGCAGCGGGAATTTTTCAATCATGTCTTGCAGTGGGTCAAAACAAAGACATAACCTATTTACTCATTTTTATCTGGAGGTGCTGGTGTTGGCAAATCTGTTTTGATTAGGGCACTTTATCAAGCTCTGCACAGATATCTATGTTCCATAGAAGGTGAAAATCCAGACGACATAAGAATACTTCTGTGTGCATATACTGGCAAGGCAGCATATAACATTGGAGGGGCAACTATAGCATCTGCTTTCCATCAAAAAATTAATCAAAGTCAACAAAGCTTGCATTGTGATGAATTGAACACTTTTCGTACGAAGTACCAAAACCTAAAATTGATCATTATTGATGAGATATCGATGGTTGGTAATAGGTCATTAGCACTCATTGACAGTCGTCTACAGCTTCTCACAGGCATCAAGAAACCATTTGGTGGCATTAGTATCATAGCTGTTGGTGATTTCTTTCAACTTAAACCTGTGATGGACCGTTGGATCTTTCAGGATTTAAATCATGCTGCTCAAGCTCTTGCAAACAATCTTTGGAAGGAGCATTTTTATATTTTTGAGTTGGATGAAATAATGCGCCAGAAAGATGATCTTGAGTTTGCTCAACTTCTTAATCGCCTTCGTTACAATGCAATGACAGCAGAAGATATGAATGTAATAAACAAATGCATGATAACGGAAACAAGTGACAATTATCCACACCATGCTCCTCATCTATTTACACAGAATTCTAAAGTAGATGCATACAACAATCAGTTGATTGAAAAACTTGAAGGAGAAAAGGTGACAGTGAATTCAGTGGATACTGTTCTTAAGGATTATTCAAAGGAACTTAAGGAAAAGCTCCTCAGGTCTCTATTGAAAGCAGATGATGTTAGCAAAACTGCAAATTTGATGCAAAAATTGACTCTTGCTGTCGGGATGATATATGATATCTCAGTCAATGTTGATGTATCTGATGGTTTAACAAATGGGTCATCATGTAAGGTAGAATTAATTGAAAGGAGAATGGAAGGCATATCAAGGCCAAGCATCATTTGGGTAAATTTTTTTGACTCTGCTATTGGGAAAACAACCCGCAAGAAATACAAACATTTGTTTCATGATGGAATTACCGAGGACTGGACACCAATTTTTGAAGTTCAGCGGTCTTTTGTATTGAATTACAATACATTTCAAAGGATTCAATTTCCATTACGACCAGCTGCAGGGAAAACAGTTCATAAAGCCCAAGGTTGCACTGTTGATGAAATTGTAATTGATTTGTCTCAGACTAAAGTAAGAAAAAATCCTCATATTCATTATGTAGCACTAAGCCGGGTACGTTCAGTAGATCATCTTCACATCCTAAACTTTAATGAGCAGGCTTTGGCTATGGATGAACAAGTGGTAGAGGAAATGGAAAGAATGAAAAAAGATGTACCACTACAACTTTGTTATGTCCCATTATACCAGGTTGATTTGCATTCTTTCAAAATTGCTTTCAACAATTGTAGATCACTTCATAAACACTTTGCGCAAATTCAAAATGAACCAAATATTGTTGCATCAGATGTAGTTGGATTCGCAGAGACAAGATTAACTAGTGCAGATATAGCAGGGAATTATCAACTAGAGGGATACACAGCAGTATTTAACCATGAGCATACAGATAATATGGATAGACGTCCACATCATGGAACAGCAATGTACGTGAAAAATGATTACAAAACAACCTGCGTCTCAAAGCTAAACAGTGGTTCTATGGAATTCATCATGGTAAATATACAACTAAACCAAAGTAGAGATGTCCAAGTTGTAGTAATTTACAAATATCCATCTTGCTCTTTTGGGGATTTTAAACAACTTGTGGAAATGCATATAAAACCCTTGATTGATGACCAGAAAGACTTGGTATTCTTAGGAGATTTTAATTTTGATTTGTTTTCTGGGCATACAGAATTTTTAACATTTATGGAAAAAGGCTTTAATTGTAAACAAATTGTGAGTAAGACTACTCATGACTCTGGTTCTAAACTTGATTTGATTTTTACAAACATATCCCCATGTGGAACAGATGTGATTGAAGCATACTGGTCAGATCATAAAATGGTGTACTGCACATTTGATAAGACTATGCATTAAATACAATGGGGCACCAAAGTAAAATTTCAGAGGGAGATGCGTAAGAATGCCCCCTCCCTCATCCCCTTTGTCCCAGTCTTTTATTATACCCCTCAAAGTTTGAGGGGTATATTGGAATCAACATGTCCATCTGTCTGTGGCTTTGTCAATATCTAAAGCTTTTTTTTTTTTTTTTTTTTTTTTTTTTTGTAATTTTTATGATAATTTCTTGACCATCTATAAAGGTATATTCAGACAAGACAAAGGTCAGAGAGTTCAAATTATATAATTCTGACAGACAAAATTTTGGTTTAAGATTAAAAACCATTACATATTTTGGCAAAGGTTGCTGATGAAAAAGGGGTCTTTCATGATCTCATGCCATGATTGTTTGTATAAGGTTGTATGGTAGTACAATGGTAGAGATTATCGTGACCCTCAGCTTATTACAGTCATCTCAACAAGATTCAGGCCATGGAAATGTGGAGTATAATTTTGCAAGATTGCAGAGAAGTATATGTCTTTCCAAGTTGCATTGTTGGGGTATTAGTCCTATTTTGGCATTTTTATATTTTTTTAATTATAAAATAACCTTTGAAAATATGAATTTGTACTTTATACTTGTAATATTATACATATGTTTTTGAGATGACATTTAAATTTTTAACCTGAATGTCCTTTGCATATTTCATTCTTATTGTATTGATGTATATAATTATATTTACTTGCTTAATTAAGATTTCCTTTGTAAAAAATACCATAAATAATTTCATTTTTTTCTATTACAAGTTGCACTGAATTCTTAATGCATATTTAAATTAAAATGATAAGGTCATACTGTATTCATACAATAATTACATTTTCACTAATTACCTGTAGGTCTACTGTTGAAGTCTCAGCTTATTTCTCAAGATTTGTAAAATTCTGAACAACTCTTTTCATGTAAATGCATATATACACATGATATAACAATGTATACTTTTGTATGTATTGTTTGTAAATTTGTTGAGTTTTTCTTTACTTACATTATAGTTACATGTAATTCTGTATATTCATTTTGTAGTTAATTTTATAGGATATATCTTTTACATTCTGAATACATGTATTACCGCTTCGAGGGATAGTGTCTTACAAAGAGTATTGATGGTTCAGAAATCATCCTCCATTTGTCCCTTTATGACATTCAATGGATTATACTTTATACAGTGAAACTGAGTTTTTCAGTTGGGAGCTTTTCATTGTGATACCTTGTGATCATTCTGCAATGGAAGGATATTCTTTCATAGACTACCGTGATTGTGACTCTAGACCAATGCCATTATCTGTGATTCTAACTCTTTTTAGGCTACTGTATGTGATTTTGACACACCAAACAGATATAATAAATCACTGAAATGATTAAGTGGCACCTTATAGAATGTGGAAACCACTGATTTGGATCTCATCATGGACAGAATTGTAACATTTGCTCAATTATTTTGAACATTTACTTGCATGGATATGTGCCAGTCAATTTTCTAACTTGCTAATGCTAGAAAAGTATGATAAAATTGGTCACAAAAATAGTAAATATACTTTAATTTCATGTTATTTGTATTTTGAACTTCTTTTTAAAACATGCTTGTTGAAAGCATGTGTATAAATAACATACAATGCTTAGAAGTTAAATAATTACATTACACAGTAGATGTTTGATTGTGAAACCTCAGATTTGTTGATTCAGATGAATTTCACCTAGCATATGGAACATGTAGATTTTGTGATTATCGAGAAACTAATGATGATTTCTATTAGTTCAACTTTATTGTGTACAAAATGTATAATTTACAGGTAAGTATGGAAAGAGGGGGTCAATGGCCAGCCCGTAAAGGGAGGTAAACCTACCTCTTTCACAAAAAATGTTAGAAAAAATGCACTTAAATATGATAGCTCATGATATTAATACATTTAGAATTCAAAGAAAAAATGCAGAAGAAAGAAAAAGAGCTCCTTTAATTTTTCAATAACATTCTTAGAATCTGAGGTTCTGGTACTGCAGTTATATACATACAAAATAAACATCATTATTGTCATTTAGTATTGAACAATTTAAAGGCAAAATATTAATATGTATATGGTAAAACCTTTTCTTTCTCAATCGCTTACACATAATCTTTCCCTTTTTCGTTTTTCGTTGGGAAAGGTTACATTTATTGAGTGATTATATTTTTTAAATGACCAACATAAGACACCCATGTATATTATGTCTGGATTTTCATGTGAGTACTTAAATTTTTCCATGCTGTTTATAACTTTTCATTTATTATTTATTGTTATTTGAAATTTTTAACTTCAGATTTAATTATAATGATTACTAAATGCATGTTTTAGACATTACTTCACATGTATATACAAGAAAGTTGTTAAACAACAAATGAGTAATATATTTCAAATTATATATACTAGTCTCAAATGTGTCAACAAAATTTGATTTGTACCAGCTTGTTTAACATTTTATCTCTTATTTTTTTCTCTAAAAAAATTGCATAGTGTGAAGTGCAGATTATCTCTCAAGACTTACATAAGTTTCTTGTAAATGAATAAAGTTTTCTAACACAATCATAATTATGCATTTTTCTTATTGACTGAAGGGAGCTAAATAACTGATTGTACTTGTTAATGAAGAATAATCTTGGAAAAGCTTTGAGGTCATAAAAGAAATAATTGTATATACATGTCCAAAGCCTTCATACTTCTAGGTATAAGTACACATATGGTCCGTGAAATTGAAATTCAAGCATTTCCATAGTGTGTGGATTTAATTCAATTGATATAATATAAGGTCATAATATTTCATGTCAGTATAAAGGTGAAAAAAAAAATTCTTAAATTTTGAAGAACTGGAACCAAGATGACTCAGGTGAGCGATGTGGCCCATGGGCCTCTTGTTACATATTACTACAGCTGTTTATATACATATTCTGAATAACATTCTCCACTCCCTCCTTTTTTTACAATCATTCATTTGCTGGGCTATATTACACCGGTAGCATTTACTCCTCCTACTATTCTATTACCTATTTATTCCTGAGGGCTTTATCTGACCGTTTTCTGATTTGCCAGGGGGCTATATCTCAACCAATCATCTTTTAGGGCTATATCTGACTCTCTTCCCCTTTACTTATTATTGTCTGGGGCTATATCTGCCCAACCAATCATCGTCTGGGGCTATATCTGTGACCCCTCCCCCTCTTTGGTCTGTTTGACAGGAGGGCTATACAGCCTAACCAATCAGCGTCTGTCGCTATATCTGTGACTCCTCCCCTCCATTGCTTGACAGCTGGGGCTATACAGACCCCTATGCAGCTAACAGAGCTCGTGCCCTGTTTTACAAAACAGTTTACGTTCCAACGGGTGTATTCAATTTGTTTTAATCTTAATATGTGAATAAATAGTGCATACATTTTCAGACTGAATATTTCTAACTCTATGATGTTTCCTTCAATTTCTGAATTCGGATGACTTCTCATGCAAATCTTCCAAAGTACAGGCTTTCTGATCCACTCAGATGACTTCTCATGCAAATCTTCCAAAGTCCAGGCTTTCTGATCCACTCAGGTCCACATAAACCCTTACTGAATAGACTGACTTTAACCGGATTTACTATCTAGTGAAATTACAATTGATTTATTGTATGTTGTTTTACGTCCCATTCGAGAATTTTTCACTCATACAGAGGCGTCACCATATACCGGTGAAGGGCTTCAAATTTTGACCTTTACTCGGCACTCATGGCCATTGAGCAGTGCTTTATCATGCCAACGCCTGCCGTGTCAAGGGGCCTCGGTTTTTAAGGTCTCATCCGAAGGACCCGCAACTTTAACTTCAAAGTGCTGAGCGCATGGCGAAGGAACAGTTGCTACCCATTTTTATCGACTTAAGTCGGCCGAGATTCGAATTCACGACCATCCGATCACGGAGCAAGCGCTCTACAGACTGAGCTACCGTGAACGGTCAACTTCTGCTATTGACCAATCAGAGTAAGCGATTTAAATAGAGAATGCGAAACAATATTGAAAGTCGGTAATAAATTCAGCAAAAGTCTGATAGTCTACAGCCTTCATTTTAGAAACCCCTCCCTGTCGTCTGCGGTTGAATAGTATTTGTGCCAATATGATCTCACAGAGACTGGACCATGCATCTCGTTCATTTTGTCTTCTGTAAGTCTGTCGTATGCTATCTGAAATTCATTTTTATACCCCTGCCTCCGAAGGAGAGGGGGTATACTGTTTTACCCTTGTCTGTCTGTCTGTGTGTCTTTCCGTAACAAATTTTGGTCGCAGTTTTCTCAGCAACAACTCACCGCAAATCCTTGAAATTTTAACACACCCATGTTTAGGCATGTCATATGGTGGGATTCATTTTTGTACTAATCGGATGTCAACTTCCTGTTTATCCGTGCGTCTGTCCGTACCAAACATATCAAATTTTGGTGGCAGTTTTCTCAGCAACTACTCATCGCAGATGCTTGAAATTTTAACACACTCTTTGTTTAGACATGCTATATGTGGGGATTCATTTTTATACAAAATTCCGATGTCAATTTCCTGATCATCACTGTGTATGTCAATAAATGAACTTGTGTATTCACATCAGAGCGGGGGTATTATTAGTGAGCATTGGCTCACAGACTTCTTGTTGAAGTAATTGTTCAAGAGGATAACATCATTTGTTAATGGCATTAGATGTACCCTATTTCTTCTCATCTCCTGTAAGATTCTGTGGGCATGAGGTGTCACTTCTTCATTCCACTTTAGATCATGTAGCTCAATGAACTTGCTGGCTTTTTGCCACCATATTATAATCACCAATTTTAAGGACATTTCCTTTCATGGTTCCAGCACACTTCTTGAGAGAATATCCAATCTTTAAAGCAAGTGCCGAAGTTTTGTATTTTGTTGTTTCTATGGAAAGTCCTGAAACCTCTTTTGTGTTTTGGACAACAATATATCAATTTTTACAGGATCTATAAAAGATGAAAGTTCTGCATCATCTGTTCCTGTTCGCTATCTGCATTTGCTACATATACATATGCTAACAGGAATTAAGATAAAATATATAGGAAACAAAGAAATACCGTAATTGAATTCTTTTAAATTACTAAGAAGATTCCAATTCCTAGACATTTATTTTCTTAATTAAGACAACGATTGCTTGTGCTGTTGCATTTAGGAAAGTTCTTGGGATATCAAGGTCTTCCTTTTTATGCAGTAAGGAAGTTATTTTTAAATACGTATATTAAAAGTCAAGACTAATTAATATGTGAAAACATAGGTCGCATTGGTACTTACACTCCCCCGGAAGTTGACATTGGTGGTGAGGAGTCAATAGATGGGCCCTTCCGGACTAAGATTCGTCTAACTAAGCACCCCAACTTTGTCGCAGTAGTGGGGGCACCCCATGATGGTTCTGGCAGCCCCTTGTCATTCGTAGGTTTGACACCAGAGGAAATGAGCCTATGCTAGTTAAGGGACTTGGAAATCAGTCAATTTCTTGACTGGTAAGACGGTGGTGTAGTTCAAGAGGAAGGTTAGTCCGAAATATCTGACGTTTTCCTGGCTTTTTTTACGATTTTGATATTTTACGTGCCAGGAAACTGGCACGTAAAATATAAAAATAGTAAAAAAGCCAGGAAAAAGTCAGATATTTCGGACTAGAGGAAGGTGTGATGTTCCTTGCAGGTCCCGCAATTAAAAACTATTGGCTACATAGGACGGCCTTCACATTAGATAAGGACAAGGTCCTTTGGAAGGAGGTGGGGAGGGGGGTTGTGAAGACCAGACTTTTAGTCGTTCCTGAGGAGTTGAGGAAGGGGGTTCTACGCCTGTGCCATGACGTCCCAGCAGCAGGTCACCAGGGCATTGATAATGGATAGAATATCAATGACAAATTATAATCAGGAATTTCATGTAAGTGAAGAAAATTTATTAGAGTAATTAAAAGAAACTGAGTAAAGGTTTCCATTCTTAAGGATCTTATTAAAATCAATTTGCTTTCGAATTTTGAAAGAAATAGTAGAAAACAAATCGGCAACAAAAGGTTTTCCTAAAGACATAGATCATTCTTTTTTCTAGGCAAGCTCTCGTGTATGACTATGAGGCATATACCAAATTCAGTGACCCCTTTCTAAAACTTTTCGTTATCGATAAATAGAAGTATCATTTAATATGACGCATTCTAGTCCTACAAATGCAAAAAAGATATCCTTATAAAAAAGGAAACAATGCACAGTAGGAGGAATTCTAGTTTAAAATAATGACATCAAACAAACACAACTTCACCTTAAGTAGACTAAACAGCACATTCTCATACTTACCATCTTTAGCGCAGACATCATAAATGTCAATTTCAAGAATGTCCGTTAAAGTTACGACTGATGCTTGCAAATCACTAACAGAATGAAAAAAGTCTTGGTCATTCTGAAACTGCTGTTAATCTTCTTCAATCATCTCGGGGAAATTTTGGTCAGATAAAAACTGTAAAAAAGGAAAAAATTTAAAATAAAATCATAAACACAGACATACTTCTAAACAAAAAGTATTATATAAAATTTTTAATATTTTTTTACTTGTTATATACCTGACATTTTGATACTGCAGTTGCAGTCAACTGATCAACACCTAAGTACTTCTTTGGATACACTGCTGTAATTTGCAAATTGTTTCCTTCGGCATACTCATTTTCTGCAAGTTTGTCAAAAAGACAAACTTTGGCAACTGTGCTGTTGTCCTTCAAGAGTATTGACTTTACTGCAAGATTGCCGTCTCTTACATACTTAATAGGAGAAACCTATATGAAAAGAACAAAATACTAAAAATTTGACTATCTCGAAGGCGATTTAACCGGCCACCAACCCTCAGCAGACCCTCTTCATCCAAGTAAGGCGCCAGTGATATGATGTGACTTTCCTTGTTGAGCGACAACCCTAGTCTTAGATTGTTGACCTCCTTGTAATAGTGCTTTTGTTGCACGGTTTTTATCACGAATTATTCTGCCTAAGTGCAACTGGACATGTTGCTTCCTGGCACCAATGCCATCCTTCGCAAGATGAGTCATTTTCTTTGTTGTGGCAGCGTGCATTATGTTTCAAGATGGCAATTGCATGAACTAACCCTTTCCATGTTGAGAATTTCGAGAATCGTTCATCTAGTGGTAAGTGTGTTGAGACAGTGGATTGTAGCACCTGTACTGGACGGATTTCTTTATCAGAATCTGGTTCAATGAGGGGAAACATTTCTGGTTCTTCTTTTGATGTTTCCATGCCATTTAAGATATACTCAGGTCCTTTCAACCATATTTGTATGGCTGTCAAAATGTCTTGTGACACATCCCTTGTAGCAACGTCTGCAGGATTCAAGTGAGTAGTCACATAATTCCATTGTTCTGGTGAAGTAGCATGAGGAATCCTGGCTACTCTATTGCTAACATAGGTATAAAATCTCCGTGTGTCATTTTTTATATAACCGAGAACAACATTGCTATAAACAAAATATTTCATCTTATTTGGAAGTATCTCAAGCTGTTCTGCAAGGAACTGCCCAATTTCTGTCGCCAGGACTGCTCCGCAAAGCTCTAAGCGAGATATACTATTACCAGCTGAAGGTGCTAATTTGGATTTGCCCATAATGAACCCCAACTGCTGTTGACCGAGGTCATCTGTTGTCTTGAGATAAGCAGCTGCACCTACGGCTTTCTCTGAAGCATCGGAAAAAATTAACACTTCCGGTACTTTCATCTGACTGTATGAAGTTGGTACGTACATTCTAGGAATACAGAATCCATCCAACAGATTCAAGTTGTCCATCCAGTTCTGCCAACGTTTATGATGTGTTTCAGGAAGTTGTTCATCCCAGTCAAAGCCTTGTGGACATGTTTCTCTCAATAATATTCTTCCATAAAGGTAATAAAGTGGTTCAGTTTCTCTGGACTCCTTTTAAGATTCGACTCTAGTTGTCGAGCTCTTTGCAATACTTGTAGCCTGTTGTTGGGAAGCCGTGCCCTTTGACTTTGGAATGGTAGGGGGGCCATCCATACACCAGATGAATTCTTCCTGAATGTTGAGTGCATCAACTCTGTGAACTTTCGATCTTCGTAAGACATTCCCATTTTTTCATCCTGTTGGGTTCTAACAAAGAGATTTTCTCCAATGGGAGATTCAACTGGTTGCTCACGCAAGACGAGTTTTGAGTTACATGGGTTGAAAATTGTTCTCCTACCATTCACAAGTAAGTTGGTTTTCAATACATTGATGTTGTCTCTATGGAACTTGCCAATACAAACTTCTCCCACGATCACCCAGCCCAAGCTCAACCTTTGAGCAAATGGTGCTCCACATGGACCTGTTATTTTATAATCCCGAAGGAGTCACAAAGGTTGTTACTGGCTTGCTCGATTCTGACATGTTCCCTTGGTGATAGGCTTTTCCTTGGTCCAGAACTATTAACCATCGACTTCCCGACAGCTGGTTTAAAGTGTCCTGTATTCTTGGAATCGGTTCTGCCCATTTCACTGTCTTGTTGTTTACCTTCCGATAGTCAATACACAGGCGTTAGGTACCATCACGCTTGCGCACACATACCATTGGGCTCGAATATGGTGAATTGGACTTGAGTATGAAATGCTTGCCTATAAGATCAGTTAAATAGTCTCTCACTTCTTGGTAAAGCGGACTTGGGGTCGAATTGTATGAAGCTTGTACTGGGGTAGTATCTTTCAAAGAATGCTAAGTTCCAAGTCAGTAGCATGGCCAATGTCGTCATCTCCCCTAGAGAAAGCGTCACATTCCTCCCTTAGCACCTGACGGATTTTGCCTTCTTGTTGTGTGGTAAGTCCTAGTCCAGTGCCTGCAGTGTTCAGTTAATTTTATAGTAACCCTGTGTAATGAATATACGGGGAATATACAGGGTTAGTTTATATTTGAACATTTTCAATGATGATGCTGAACAGTTCTGTCATATCATATGAGCTTCAATAATTATAATATACGGCGAAATAAAACAACAGTAGATCAAAATTTGCTCAACCCATGAAGTCACATGCCAAAGAGAAGGCGAATTAAAAAAGGAGGTCTCGGCATAAAATTGCCCATCCATTTTTTTAATTGTGTAAATTACATTTTAATGTATTTTTTCATTAATCAATTACTGCTTTTAAAACAATTAACCAAAATATAATTTAAATTTTTTGTTCTTTGCTGTCACATTTGAAACAAGAATGTGCATATACATGTATACATGCTTAGAGAGTGCTTTTTGAGATGTGATTCAATTATTGATTCATTTATCCGGACGATTTCGTTGGGGACAGAGGCGTCCGGATAAACGAGGCGCCACTGTATATATATTTTTTGTATACATTTTATTTTTTTTATTTTAAATTTCATTTTCTAGATAATCAAATTAAGCAGCTTATTTCATTCCAAATTTCCGTTATTTCCAAGATAGATATTCTACAGGACATATCTGCCACCAAAAGTCATTTAGTGTCTTCTGTGAATGTTGATTTTGACACCATTGGAAGCTTGCTACCATCAGGAAGGAAGCTTAATTCCAGAGAGGTAGAAAACTTTCAAGAAACATTAAATACCATTAGATACAGTTGTTAAAGTAGTCCAAGACTTGGCTGGTTATTACCATCAGAATGAGGAGAAAATATCTGTATTTTCTATTCCGTCTTTGGCGTTAAATCTTGGACATAGTTTAATGAAGGTTGCAGAAATCAATAGAGGCAATACCATAAGAACAAGAGCACCGCTAAGCGGGGCATCCCCTCGCGCCAGGAACTTCGCCGGTAATGGCAATGTCTCCATACGAGAAAAAAATTCTTAAGAGGGACGTGAAACAAGATACAATCATCTAGGCCTAGTAATCAAGGGTACCCAGTATTACTATACTGTATATATAAAGTTTAAAATAAGGTAAAGAAATTAAAATGTATTGCAACACTGATTAAATTTCAACAAACTTCAAGGTGGATATCATCGGGGGGGGGGGGGGTCATAACAAGCATACGTGATTGGGCAGTTTCCCTTATTCCTAGCAGAAACATATCACGTGGGCTATAAATTTCATTGAATTACCTACCTGAGTAGCATGCAATATGCATCAAATCTGAAAATACGCACGGAAGTAATATTTTTTTTTTGTAGTGAAAAATGACAATATACCGGTGTTGAGATGTCAATGAAACTTGTGAAACTTTATATTTATAGCTTTCAAGAATTATGTGCGCCTCAAGATTAAATTCCACAGGCCCCTATTGTAAACACACACGTGTAGTGCATTGAAACCGCGACGTTCATCAAATTATTTCAGTTACTCAGTGACAGAGATGACACTTTTAATTCATACAAACTTTTCTCAAGATACGCATTAATATGACAATACGCGAATACAAAGTAGAACTTACCGAAGCGGCTCTATCGAAACGACCCGAATTTTAACCTGTTAAATTTACCGGAAGTGAGTATTGTCAACTCGCACATAAAATTGCATGGTTTGAAAGTAGAAAAAACGCGATATTTCAAGAACTATATCACCGATTAACTTGAAAATGAATAGGGTTCGTCCTTTTACAATGCCACATAAGTATATGAAGACTGAGAAATGATAGTGCAAAGGTTCTCTTTAAATCTTGCCCACAAGCTGTAACGGACACACTAACACACACACATACGCACAGCAGCGATGCTATATCCCCTCCGCAACTAGTTGCGCGAGGGGATAAAAATGGATGACATAATGAAGAAAGAATGTGACGGATATTGGCAATTCATAGCTCAGACTGGGCACCTGCAGTATCATCTGTAGCTTTAACTACTCTAGGATTAATAAATTTAACAAGACTTTGGCACTCCCCATAACCAGTGACCTTGTATTATTAAAAAACACCTGGATGAACAAATGAGTGAATTGACAACAGATCTGAAAAATCAAGGAGAAAATGCTATACTCTGGAAAAAATTAGCTGGAGCAGCTATGACTAGAATTATCCTTTTTAACAGGGGCGAAGTAGTGAAGATTCTAAACTTCTGTGTGCTAGTTATGAAAACCAACAAAACTGGGAAGAAACCATGAATGAAGAAATAGCAAGTGGTCTGAAGCCAGTGAAGATCTCACTGAAGAGGTATGAAATTTTTGATGACTCATCTATTCTGAGGGTATAGCTTTTTATTGTTTCTTTTCTGAAAAAATCATTATTTTACAATAGAATTTGGGTGTTTCTAGCTCAATTATTGAGTCATTTAAATGCCACGGGCTAAGTTGTGCTTTTCTGTCCAACTACTGTTTTCGGCATCTGTCTTGCTCTCTGTATATCAGTTTATATATATTTACATGTATATATGACCTAAAAATTTTGCATCTTCATCTTTGACTCAAGAAATGCTGAGTTACTTTCAGCCAAATTTGGCACAAAGTATCTTATGGTTATGGAAGTCTCCCTCTTCCCTTGGAATTTGTAATATTTCATCTTGGGAACAGGATAAATAAAACCAATAGATTACTGCTAACTAGGGTTCCCACTTCATATGCACCATGCAGTGATTTTTCTAAACCAAATTTAGGTCTGAATATCAGCCCTTACCCCTTTCCCCTGTCAGGAATTACCGCTTTATTCCCAGTTTCAGTTGCTCTTTTCCCAAAATAAACACGTAAAGCTGTCTACCCATCCGCTTTTGGGGTAATTCTTCCGATTCTTATCATAAAATTACGCTTTTACGCGAAGAAAATCAATTTTATGCTTTGAAATATTTTACCTAAATTAAAGAACGATTAACTTGGGAGTTAACAATGAATACAAGAAGTTGAATCATAGTGATTTTTAGAGGGTTTCGGTTCTTCATGATATAATTAATTATACAAACATACGTAAAAACAAATAGTAATATTATGGCTTTTAAAAGGGTAACATGCCATTGATTAGAAAGATATTGAGTGATATGTGCAGTAAAATAAAGTCTATGCAATTTTCAATTCAGTTTATTCTCACATTGCTTATAGCAGCATAGAGAAAACCGTCATACAACAATAATGTACAATTTGTATTAACATAGAAATAAAATTCTCTAATATGTGATTTGCTACAAATTAACCTAATGCTTCTTTAAGCATGTAAATTGAGATTAGTTTGATTTGACTGCATTTAGGATACCAGTGCTTCAACACCTGGACAATAAATGATACATGATTTGAAAAAGAAACCACCAAGCTTGCTTTGTTCATAGATCTGTACAATTACAGGTTTATTTAGAGATTACAGTATCATTGCAAAACATCAAACTAGGAAAACATAAAGGATTACGCCATTGCCTCTAAAATTCCACCAAAATGAGTATTTTCATTACACTTTTGCAATGAAAAAGGGTAGGCAGGTCAGAAAAACCTGGTTTTTTTTTTTTTGTTATATTGAAATGTTTATATATGACTTATCTAAAATGCTATGGTGGCAGAGGATAGTTTTTTGGCAATCAAACGTTTGACTGACGGTTTCCTTAATATTGAGCTGCTTTTAAAACGTGCAATGGTAAATTTTAAATTCTCTGTACATGCAATAATAGTATGGTCTAGTCCCTTGAGGAATTTGAAGCTTTTAGAAATAAAACATGTACAACTTACACAATGATCCCTAATGATGGCACAGGGACAATCTCAAAATTTCTTGTAAATTAAGCCTATTTTCACTTTTTCACCGGATCCGCAACTGCTTCCAGGCCCGGGTTAATGCCCTATGCTACCACACAAATTGCTGACCGATACTTGTTCATACCATTGAACAGCAAAGAGATAATGGTTTAACCACCTCGTT